TTGGCCATACTCTGAGGAAACCATCAAGTGACATCAGTAGACAAGTCCTTGAGTGGAACACGAAAGGGAAGTGGCGAGTTGGTCGTCAGTGTAAGGGTGACTTGGAGGAAGGCATGCGAAGAGGAGATGAAAACGTGTGGGCAGACTTGGAGCCAGGTGAAGACTCTAGTAGAGAACAGAACGCAATGGAGACGCACGGCTGAAGCCCTATTTTCCTCTAGGAATTAAAGGATACAATAATATAATAATAATACGAACATCAGTTTTTAACTATAGTTCAAGACTATTCATACATGCAAGGATAATGCCACAGTAAGTTAATTTACGCTTAGTAGACATAAAAGTCATTAGTAGATTTTAATGTCACTCTGTGTATTATATGAAATAACTTATCAACCAGTCATGCTCTACTCTATTTCACAGCCCAGGTTATGTTCCTTAGCATAAGGACCAATTTAGACTAGAATTTGGACACGCTGTTGTCAGCCATCAATATACCGTCAAAACTTCTGTGCTATACATCGAAGCTGAAGGCTCAGAGTTCTATCCCTGGTTACTTCATGAGTGAAGACTGCCAAAGAATCCAAAACTAGGGTGAAACACTTGTCCATGTTTCCATGGTGTTCAGTGACTGCTAAGTGATGTCGGTTGGTGATGAAGTCTACATTGAAATTCAGAAACCCATGATCTAGAAATCTAAGCTTTTGAATATTTGAGATTCTACTGTTTAATAGCAAGGATTTATTTATAAGGATAGCACACATCTAAAACAAACAGAGAAGTCAAATACCGAAACACTAGACTTAAAAATTTTACTAGACACCTGAATCTATTGTCTGTCTATACTCAATCTGATTCACGTGATAGTGCAATAATGAATCACATGAATGGTGGACTCATCCAGTTTAAGAAATGCATTAGTGAGCAACACCGAAATTCAAGTATGCTTATTTTCACTACAAGTGATGAGTGAATAAAACAAATAATTGACAAACCAATATTGAAATACTTAGTTCACAGTGTGAATGATGCAATTAAAGCCCACATAATTTACTCTATGTGTATGTACTACTATTTCCGGAAGGAGAAGATTTGTAGAGTAAATTACAAATAAAAGGTATGTGTGAATAGTTGTCTTTTATTGAATTTCCAAAGCGGAATTCACAGTTTCTGTAAGATTTCTATAGAAGAAGAAAAATACTGAGAAGTACGTAAGGTATACTCATCTCCTAAAGCAAGTGTATACACTCCAACCACCAATGTGCTTGTCCTGTATCACCAGAAAGAGGTTGGAAAGAAAAGGAACAGAACAATAGATTTATTCGATTCAATTTTAAATTTTCCCGTCGATTGATTGGACCGAAATGCTCAATCTCAGGTTGACATGTTGGCTTCTTCTGCAGATGACTCAGTGAAGTCTGGGCATTAATTAGAAGTTAGGTGGTGGGTGGTGACTAATAGTGGAAACCAGGATGCATATTTCGTCCTATTTGTGACACGTCGACTGGAGCATCATCACTCACTGTGGAGTGCAGGTACGTCCAAATGACGAGTCACACATAGGGCGAAACGCGCATCCTGGATTCCGCTGCTAGTCACCATCTACCAATTAACTTCTAAGAACAACAGATTGATGTCTAAAATCTGCTTTCGATTTTGGAATCAGAAACTCATGGACTTTCCCCAAGGTGACTAGAGTGTCTGCATGAACAACCAGATACACATTAAGGAGATGCTAAATATCGTCGATTACTGTCTCCATAGCATCAGCTTAGCCAGTAGACTAGTAAGATGCGCATAGTCGCCTAATGTAAAATGATGAAAGCTGTAATAAGAATGTTTTGGAGGAATTACATGTCAACATGTTGAATTCACTCACCTAAAAGGTATCAGACAGATTCTGCAAAGAAATAACTGCAGTAGCGAAATCCCTACCTAATTCAACTCATTTGCCTCTCAACATTCAAAACTCCAGACTGTATCAAAAGTCATCATGCTCATACAGATTTGACCACTGTCCCATATCCACAACAACTCAAGAACTGTCTCACTATGAAACAAAACAAACACGAGTATTATTATAACTATTATTATTCCTTCCAGCTAATTCACAATACCTATTCACCCCAAAAAACATACTAATCTCTTCTCTTCAATAACTCCCAGCCACAAACACCAGTGGAAGAAGCCAATACAAATACCAACGAAAATCTGTACAAAACACGCCAGCCAACAGACCACATGAACATCATCAGGGAAATTCAAGGGAGACATATCAGTGTGTATTGACTTCAAGTGACTGGTAGTAATACTTCAGTCTCTGAATGTTAGTAAACACAATATACCCGACTTCCATATCATCATCATCATCATCACAATGTCGACATTGTGTGGACAGTCTGCACACAGAGAAGAAAATCATTCGGAGTACCTTCAGGGTCTGTCCACCTACATTAGAACTTTCTGAAGCGACAAATGCTTGTTTCGCTCTCTGAATGCCTGAAGCATCATTTTCTGCTTGCATTCAGTATACGAAGAGAAGAGTCATCCAGTGTAAGGATAACTTTACAGATAAGTGACTGGTCACCAATTAGCAGATTAGGAACATTCATATGAATCAGTGTGGCATATTACTCCTATTTACTCAAAGAAGCTTATGCTTGTGACTTAATGAATTAGAGGTGGTAGCTGTTTTGCAAATTTAACATGATGGCGTGATAGGCTAACTCTTCCACCATAGAATTTCAGGTTGTGTAATAGTTAATAATGTGGTCAGTAATACTGAGATTAGTAGTAGAGTGTTAGGTGAAGGGGGGTGAACAACTGACGAAGTTGTAGGATTGAGACTGTAAGCGCATGTGTTATGGACGTCAACCTATTAACTTTTTGTCGAGTAATGTTAGTTTGCATTGGATCAAATCAGAATAGGGCGTCAATCCATTAAGTTTTTGACTTTTTCACTTGGTGGGTTCCTCGAAACATTACGAGATTACGGTCAGCTCAAGATCCCTCCCAATAGTGTAAACTCATTCGCTCCTGATGAACTCCGAGATTCGCTAAATTCTCATTGATACTTTTATCTTTTACACTCCACGTTTCCACCCTCTATAATTCCTCTGAATTTCTTTCATTTCTCTCTCTCTGTCTGTGTATATTTTTGTTCGCTATATGAAGTCGGACAACTTGGAGATCTGCACTTCTGTGCAAAGTTCCACTTTGGAAAGTCACCTAGTCAGTCAATCAGCTAGTCAGGCTGAAACAATTTCAAGGTATTTCATCAAAAAATATACCAGGAAATACCATTTTAAGACAAATAACTTAACCAGGATTGAAGAAGATTATCGAATAACCTGGGAGAATGCTTAACTTCATTTTCTGAAGATGGTATGGAAAATGCGTTACTTTTCAGTCTTAGCTGAGATTAAGTAGCATCAAAATAGGTCATGAAGGAAATGATCATTATTATGCTGTTCACTGATGCAGGTTGATTTATTGAAGCATGGTATAATTTTATCAATACTATTTACACAAAATGTAAGTTAGGTGACGTAGTTTCTTATGACGCTAAAAACAGGAAAACCAGCAGGACCAGATGTAAACCTCGCAGAAGCGTTGAAAATCGACCCCGAGACATCAGCGAACTTGATGACACCACTACTGAAGAAAGTGTGGAAAGAGGGGAAGGTGCCTGAGGATTAGAGGAAAGATTACCGTTTCAAATTGCTAAATAAATGAAACTTGAGTCAGTGCAAGAATTGGCGCGACATTATCTTCCTGTCTATCCAAAGCAAAATACTAAACCGCATCATACTGGAGACAATCAAACACGCCCTGGATGAATAGATTCTACTGTGACAGGCTGGATTCAGCAAAAACAAGTCCTGCATCGATCAAATCAGCAACAGAGATCTCTGGCAACGAACCAACCCAGCAGGAACCAATTGTGCAACAAATGTGCAGGAAGAAATGGAGGTGGATAGGCCATACTCTTAGAAAATCATCAAGTGACATCACACGCCAGGCTATTGCTCGAGTGGAACCCGAATGGGAAGCGGCGAGTTGGTCGTCAGTGCGAGGGTGACATGGAGGAGGTCATGTGAAGAGGAGATGAAAGCATATGAGCAGAGGTCGAGCCAGGTGAACACATGTGTGGAGCACTGAAGGCAATGGAGACGTGCGACTGAAGCCCTATATTCCTGTAGGAATTAAAGGGATAATAATAATAGTCTCATTTAGGCGTCTTCCTTTATAAAACACCTGTGGTCAAATGTACTTTCGTAGGATCTGTTTAACCCAAATCCATGCGATACTCTTCACCTAGTAGATTTAATAAAACAAAATTTAAACTTGTAGACAAAGTGTTTCCAACTTATCTAAATAAAGATTTTATGGTATGTCCACATTTTAGTTTATACTTACATTCGACCTCAAAATGGTTAATGTTTAATGAAACAGACGAATTGTTTATCCACACACACACACACCGGTCTTCTATTATTTATTTCAATGAATCAACAAACTTGATAATCATCTCATCGAATGTTTACAAGTTAGTCACCGTTCTCTCTCTCTCTCTCCCTCTCTTTTCAGCCACCCACGCAACAAATAAATTGTTACATAATTGGAAGAACATAAATTATCTGTTGATTGAATTTATGCCACGCTTTTATTTAATTGAAATGATGACTTTAGATGTTATCATGATTTCTCTTAGTTTGGCATTTCTTCCTTATTCATTGAAAATTGTACAGCCTAACTGTGATTGGTCAATTGGTGTAAAGTAAACAAGTGGGCGTTAGAATCTTTGCACAATACACAAGAAATGGTATACACACTTCAATGTATATAAAAGTGAGAAAAATTAAGCAAAACAAAACGCTGCATGAACTGCGAACTGTTCATCACGAAACATAAAAATAATAATAATAATCATATAGATATTTATATACAAATAAACACAATCATACATTATATTTTTGTGGTGTTCACAAGTCTTTAAAATGGAGTGCAAATTTTTACTACTTTGTAAGTTTAAACAAATGTATGCATAAATTTCTCCTCTGATTTTTCATAAATCCTTTAGACTTGACTATTTATTTATTTATTGTGAATTATCATTTTTAATGCTTATGATTAATTCAAAATAAGTGCTAAATGTTTGAATTGTTCAATGGTTTTAATAAATAGGTTACACTTATTGGACACGATTTCCCACTCTCTTATTATTTTTATCAAAACAAGATGGCTAATCACTCGTAAAAGTTGTTAATTAATGTTTAGTCAGCAACTCTGGGTATTTCGTTTTTCCTCAGTGAATCAGGTTCTTGTTTAGAGATTTACGTAGAATAAAAGTTGACGATTGTTAATGTCATTCTGTTTCTGGTATCAACACTGTGAACATGTCATGGCATAAATTTGTTAGAAATATCCGTTAATAAGATATCAGATGTGCATTCTGAACGACTGTATAAATCTAATCGCTTCGGAATTTTGAAGTTAAATAAAGTGAGCCACTTGAATGCAGGTTGATCGGTCTCTTAAGCACCTAGAAGAATATTTACATGCATGTATGTTATTCTTTTGTTTGCTGAGGACAACAAAACGCATAGTGAAGTTATCGTTCCCCATGATAAATTCATTCTCTACACCTGTACAACTGTAAAATAAAAATGTCTTCATTCTAAAATAGAGGCTAATTACAACAACAAAAAACAATAAGACTGTTTGCAGCCAAACATGGCATATTAAAGAAGAGAAATCATACGTTTGTTGAAAACATTGGAAACTGAGAAAAACGAAATGAGTAGAATAACGCCAAGACCACTCGAGGTTTAGAAGTGGATTCTTGTAATCTAAAATGAAATATGGTATTTTTTGAATAGAAAAGTATAACTTAAGAAGTCTTAGACATAGATTGAAGGGGATGTTGAGTCTTTGGTCAATCCATCTACCTACTCAACACCACATGGAACTGTTTCTAAGAAAGGTAGTATTCTAAGGAGCAATCGACTATGCCTAATTTTCACGTTAGCAGTCGGCAAATACTTCAAAAAATTATTATCATTATCCTTTTGATATTTCTGTCTAAAATAAAATAAATAAATTAGTTAACATAGTCGTAATTAATATTATCATTATTATTATTATTAGTTTGTAATAAATGGAAACTGCTATTCATAGAAACTTGATGCATATTTTCTAAAGTGTATCTGTGTCTATATACCTAATGAATAGACTGTGTATTGAGTGAATAAAAGCCGATGTTGAATTTCTTACGCTGAAATTAATCGGTATACACACAGTTTTGTATGATATTCTTCATTTTACATGAAATTTCCAACTCAACTGAAGATAAACACGTGTTCGGTTTAGTCAATAAAGTAAGTAACGCCAAGCATTTTATTAGACTTTATCAGTGTGAATAAAATACGTATCTGGTAATTTCAAATTATTACACTCTAATAGGCAGAAAGAAGTCAGTGGAACACATTGGATGGAATGACTGCAAGTGTGTGCGTCGGTGGCACAGCAGTTAGGACACTCGCTGACCATTCACGTGGTCTGGGATTTGATCCCCGGCCGACGCACACTTGATATTAATGGTCGGTCTGCTAAATTTGGGCTACCGATATCACATGCTGAATGAAAATTCCATACTTGTACCAAAAATTACTGTGTGGAGTCAAGCTATAATAAAAAAATTTGCATACAACTTTCGATAGTTGTTGATCAAATGACTCCACTTAGTAACATTAAGAGCATATTGCCCTATACAATAATACGTGCAAAATTCCGAAATAACGCAAATGAGTCACTTTTGCTTACAGATGACTGAAATCCACGTCTGCATGAAGGTCAGTTATCAACCCATTGTTCCCAAACACTGTTTAAGTGTATCATCTTGTGGAAGATTACAAGACATTAGCACCAGGAAAACTAATAATATAGTTTATAATGGTATTGTAATTATTTGATACTCTTTTAAGTTTTCCATGAAACTGAGGTTTTACTTTCCTCCAAGTCAGCGAACAGTCAAAAACACTTCATGGATTGACGTCACGTTTTAAGTTAGTTACCCACAGAAGCCTCTGAACAGAATCCCCTGTCAGTTAACATTACTCGACAAGAAGTCAATAGGTTGATGTCCATAACACATGCTCTTACAATCTCAATTGATTTACTTCTCCGTGTGCAGACTGTCCACACAATGTGGACATTGTGATGATGATGATATGGAAGGCGGGTATATTGTGTTTACTGACATTCAGAGACTGAAGTATTACCACCAGTCACTTGAAGTCAATACACACTGATATGTCTTCCTTGAATTTCCCTGATGATGTTCATGTGGTTTGTTGGCTCGCGTGTTTTGTACAGATTTTCGTTGGTATTTGTATTGACTTATTCCACTGGTGTTTGTGACTGAGAGTTATTGAAGAGAAGGGATTAGTATGTTTTCAGGTGAATAGGTATTAGAAAATAGATGGGAGGAATAATAATGATAATAATACTTGTGATTGTTTAGCTTCACGGCGAGATACTTTGTGAGTTGTTGTGGATCTGGGACAGAGGTTAAATCTGTATGAATATGACGACTTTTGATACAGTCTGGAGTTTTGTAATATTCAGAAAGGAATAAGTTTCTTAATAATATTCATAATGATAATGAACCTACTTTCGAACGCCTTATGTACTCATGATCCAGAATTTTTGAGCCATTTTCATTTCAAAATATTCCCTCTTCATACAGAATTTACATGTGAAGTAATAATGCGGGTTACATCGTGTTACTCATTCATGTTGCATGTGAAGAAAGAACCACTTCTATGAGTATTTGCTTAACGTCTTTGAAGAACTGCACGGCATTTATATTTGGAAGCTAATTAACTTTTGCCACGAGTCTATGTAGTGGTTATTTTACATAACTGCGTGATTAAGACAATACGAAATGCAGAAGAGTGTAAGTATTTTGATCAATGGAAATTCTGGTAGCTCAATGATTTAAATAGGCCACCGTGTCAATATATATATTAATAATGTTATAGATACTAATACTGAATGTATTTGTCTGTAGAATCTGTCTGATACTTAGTAGGTGAGTGAAGTCAAAATGTACCAATATATTTTCGTCGAACAAACCATAAGTCACAAATTTCGGTAAGGTGGCGGATATAGACTGACAAAAATAAAGTACTCTGTAAATGTTTGTGAAGTGTTTCCTAAATCGCATGTACAATCATGTTGATACTGGATAACCTGCTTCATACTTATTGTCAATAACTCGCTACTCTCCACTTTGTCAAAACAGAGCTATCACACCTGTAATTTATTTCTCACTTCAATTCTCTTTATCTAATAACGCCTGTTTATGAAGTCAGTAGATGAATCAAACAATGAACTGTCAACCAGCATAACCTTAATTTGTTTTTATTTTAATATTTGTGCATAAATTATGACACAATAACCACAATTACTGCGTCCTCACATACTGAGTTCATAAGGCGAAGGCTACATTTCTCAGTTCATCTAACAGTTTTAAAACATCCTATGTAATGTTATGTATATTAATGTATGTCTATCTGTAGGTGTGCATTAATGTGATAGCTGTCATAGGACCTTCATCAAATAAGCAGAATCTGCAGACGAGCACACACGCACATACACACAAGGAGAATCAGGCGCTTGACATGTCTTCTCTCTCATTCATCATCTGCATCATTTTCATGTAGAACAAAGCCTAATGGAAATTTATATTGACTTCAATGAATTAGGTCACTGATGATGATCTAAAGCAAAAATCAGAACATCAGATCAGATTTCTAATTCCTTTTATTATTTCATCTTCCAGAAAATTCAATCTGTATGTGAGCTGGGGAAAAGTGATAAGAGATTTTATAATTATTATTATTAGTATTAGGATTAGTAGTAGTGGTAGTAGTAGAATAAACTGATAGAGAAGCAATAAGTGAGGTGTCAAATTAAGACAGTAGTAACGACGTTTGTCTACTGAAGACGCTAGTACACCACCTCTAGATAACAGGTGTAAAATGCAAGACACTACATTCTTATTGAACAGAGCTGATGATGCTTTCAGTGTGTGACTTCAGTGTCTTGGAATTAAACGCTTTGTCAGAGGGGAAAATCAAATACAAGGACTCTGAAAAGACACTAACTATCAAATTGTGGTGCTGATTTATGTAGTTCTGTTTATTGTTTTGAAGATGAAACCTGAGGCTGGGTGGAAATCAGGTGAGATGAAATCACTGTTCCAACACTGTAACATGTGAGCTACCTAATTGGACTGCCAACTGTCTTATCATCATAAAACAGCCACTCCTTAGCATTTTTCCGCATAATACAATTTTTGAGCCGATTCATTTATAGCATGGAACAGGGTTCGGTTACTTATTCAGAGACGCATACAATAATTTGTTATTCTGAGTGACTCATCGTTAATTACTGTTGACAGATCACATGTCATCTTTTTTCTGCATGTTTAATTAGCCAACCTGGCATTGAGAAGATTTTCATAATAAATTAAAACCATTCAGATAGCCACAGACTGAAAATAGAGTGCATCAAGTGCCTGTCATATCCCCGTTTTCGGGTCTCCAGACACACTTTCACAATCTAATTTATGGATTTATTTTCAAATGTTAGTCTGCAGGTTAGATCAAAAACTAACATCATTTAAAGCTATACTGGACAGCTGTTTCGTCCTAGTCTGTCTAGGACTCGTTCATCAGTACGCACCCATTACCTCACTGCCAACTATTCCTCTTTTTTAGGCTCACTATTGGCTAGGCAATGCTTGTCAGTGTGTTGATCAAGAAATCAACTGAAGCCGACTGGTGGGTATTCTAGCAGCGAACCGTTGACTTAGCAGTCTAGTCAGAATATTCACAAAATTAACTTTTTTTTGAACGTCGACTTTTAATGAAAACTGTTATTGATGGCTAACTATTATTCTCTGTATGTGATAGCTTTAAGTTATTTGTTTAACGAATTGGTCACACAAGTAATCTCCGGTAAAAATTCTTAAATTTATTCCACATCCACCTATCAGATGATGTTGACTAAAGATCATTCTGATGGTTGGAAGTTGAAACAGTAGTTATTATTATTATTACTGTATCCTTTAATTCCTAGAGGAACATAGGGCTTCAGCCGTGCGTCTCCATTGCGTTCCGTTCTCTACTAGAGTCTTCACCTGGCTCCAAGTCTGCCCGCACCCTTTCATCTCCTCTTCACATCACCTCCTCCAAGTCACCCTTACACTGACGACCAACTCGCCGCTTCCATTTCGGGTTCCACTCGAGCAATGGCTTGTCTAGTGATGTCACTTGATGGTTTCCTCAGAGTATGGCCAATCCATCTCCATTTCTTCCTGCCTATTTGTTTCACAATCGGTTCCTGGTTGGTTCGCTCCTAAAGATCCCTGTTGCTGATCTTTCCTGGCCATCTGATCTGGAGTATTGAGCGAAGACAACTGTTAATGAAGGTCTGTAGTTTGTTTGAGATGCTCTTTATGACATGCTGGCCAAGTCTCTCATCTGTATAGTAGCACTGACTGACTTCACATTGGATTTGAAAATCCGGATCTTATTTTTGATGCTGATTGTTGTCGACCTCCAAACAGACTTGAGAGTAGTGAAAGCTTGTCTTGCTTTTCCGATCCTTGCTTTGTTATCCTCGTCAGTTCCGCCTGTAGTTGAAACGATGCTTCCCAGGTGGGTGGGTAGGTAAAGTAGGTTGTTTCTTTCAGGTTCCTGCCATTTATGCTGATTGTTGTCAGTTGTTGTTGTTGCTGGTGGTGGTGTTACCCAGGAATTTTCATCACCTCTGTTTTGTCTATGTTCACCTGAAGTCCTATCTTTGATGCTTCTTCTGCCAACTTGTTGCTTTTCTCTTGCATATCTTCCAGTTTGTGGGAAATCAGACATATATCATCGGTGAAGTCCAGATCCTCCGAGTTTTTTGTGTGAGTCCATTTTATACCTGTTTCCTCATTGCTCACCGTTTGTCGCATTATCCAGTCTACTGCAATCAAGAAAATCATTGGCGATAGTAGGCAGCCTTGTCTTACTCCTGTCCTCACTTCGAAGGATTCCGTAAGTTTCCCGTTGTGGATTACTTGGCATGCAGCATTGTCGTATAGCTGTTGGATGAAATGTATAATTGTCGGTGGCACCCCGTAGTAGCGAAGTAGTTGCCAAAGCAGAAACAGTAGTTAAGTCATATAAATACTGACACACTAACACTTCCATCTTATTGAGCATTGAAATTATCTAAATAAATAAATTGTTATCTGTATGCTTTCATTATACACATATTCATACACATGTCTGAATCGCTAACAGACTAACTTTATTCCTCATTCAATCTAACAACATTCACTGAGATATTGATACTGATTTTTCTGTTTTTGACTCATTTTAACTGAAAGGCACTTGGTGAAATAGATCAAAGTTGAATTCAGTGAAACATGTTTTCTGTTCACTACATTGAATTAATATCATATTGACTTGCTGGCAGAAATTGCCAGCCGACCAGCAGTGTAGGTGGTATATATATATACACGTATATATATATACATGTATATATATAATCTGTTTTCTAGTATAGTGAACTGTTTGATTTCTGTCTGCTTTTGTATTTTCATCTTGCCCTGAATGAATAAACTGCTGTCATGTATACACAGATTGTTCTATTTTATCAGTATTACGAATTAAGAAAAGAAAAATCATTTACCACTCTTGTACAATTACTTACTATTCAGTTAATTTTTTCGTTTGTTTGTTTTTTGTTTTAATATTTCAATGTAAACATGTGTAGGCGTGGTAATCGGCTTTAAGGAATACACGTGTGTGTGTGTGTTCGTGTGTGTGTGCGTGAATGCACTTAGTAGTCGATAGAGGCGAGTATGAGTCAAATTATTGGTGCCAATTTTTGTCAAATGCTGTTAACCACTGGAATAGTGATGACATTAGCGAGAAGGTTTTCTTGTGGTGTAAGGCAGAAGAGTTGCCTCATCCCATAATAGCATAAGCGTATATAATATATATCCTTTAAGCGATATCCGAATTTCAATAAAATTGTATTCAATGTGAGATTCAGCCATAATGATACTAAAAATAGACAGTTAGACGAATATTATGCAATACGTCTCTATAGATTGAGACAGCTGTGACATGTTTCAGGCAAACTGAATGTTAACTATTGAACAGAAGTCATATGCTATTCCCACCTGCTCACCAAGTATGATTTCATCTGGTTTGCATTACTCGTAGGTGAACGGGATGAGTATTCCCACATTTATGAAGAATAACGAGACGAGCTAGAGAGAAAGCATTTGGTAAATTACTTTTCTCGTTGATGCTGCTTCTTAGACTTAACATCCGCCTACCTATCGATGATCACTAGATTAGGCGGTGACAACTTTCCGTTTTTACAAAAATGTATCAGATATTGTATACTTCGTTTATACACGTATATTTTATGCATTTCCTTTATTCGTTGTGCAGTATGCATTAGATTTCAATGCTGATTTATTTATTCAGTATAAAAGTTATTCATATTTCTCGTTTCTGTACTAATCAGTGTTACTAAGTACATTCATTGTACTTTCAATGGTTAATGATCACGCCTACATACTAATATTGAACAATTTTCATTGTAATTTAAAGATAAATCACCAGCTGATATAAGTGAGAGGATCATTAAAAGCCGGGTAGTATTGGATAGCTAGCTGTTTAGTCCTAGTTTGCGACTCTTCTTACAGTGTATCTCTGACTGATGTCAGCTCATGATGAAATCCTGTAACCAATCAATCAAATCCCTACAAAGTAGCACCAGAACTTGATTTTTATTTGGAGAAGTAGTTAGCAAAGGAAATAATAACTGTGAGAGAGAGAAAACTTCTCAATGAGTTGAATAAACTTTTGACCATATTTACTACGTAAAGTGGCTAATTTATGACATCATTATTCACAATTTATGAACATGTGCACACTGATAAATCATCCATTTATTCGTCGGTACCCTGGAAATAAAATAAAACAGAGAAAGTGGAGGGAGTTAAAGCTTAAGGGAAAAAAAGAAATCGAAATTGGCTGTATTATGTATACATGTGGACATTCACACCACGTACGCAGGTGTGAATTATGAATCGTACTGAGGAAAAAAATCAAAATTAATGAAATCAAGGTTTAAAGGAAAATGTATTGTGCGGTACAAGGTGCTTTTTAACTCTGAATGAATGACACATGTCGAGTAGTAAAATAAAATACAAGCAACAACAACAACAGAAACAAAACGATCATTAAAATTCGTCACTATTTTTTGCGCTTAGTTTTTCTGTCTTCAATTTTGTCTCATTTCCTGTGTTATTACTTTCAAGGGAGAAGGATTTAAGCTTTATTTTCCTGTCTTAGATAAGACAATCCCAAGTGAGGAAAAGAGGCATTAATTTCAAATTAAAACGTAATTTTACATGGATTTTTACGTTTTTTTCCTGTCTGTCTCTCTCTTATTATTCAATTTAGGTATTATTCTGTCAGTCAATCATGAGTTGTACCTTGTAAATTTACATCCAACCACTAGTACAGATGGTGGTATTATTCGTCATCGAACTAAACGATGGGCACATTATGAAGTACATAAATGTGGTCGGATAAAAGGCTACAGTTGTCTAGAGCATCGTCATTGTTATGAACGTTATCTACGTCATGATATGGTTTGCTTTGAAGTTTATCCATGCTTGAGTTCATGTATATTCACTGCTCAGGTAAGCGTAAATATCTTTATTTATTAATTTTCGTCATTTCGTGGTTTCTTCTGTTAATGCCTAACTTTACTTTATTAATGTTTAGGATTTTATTCAGAACTTAGGCAAATAATTATTGTCAGTATAGAGACATCACTTGATATGATATGCTTAGCTTAGGTACTTCCATAACGTGAAACTGCATCAAACGAATCAGTTTTATTCAAATATTGGTTTGCAGTGATTTGATTGACTGGTTTCAGGATTTCATCATGAGCTAACATCGATTAGAGAAACATTGTAAAACCACCGAAGAGTACTGGACAGCTGTTTCGTCCAAGTTTGTGACTCTTCATCAGTACATGGACACCATAAGGACTAGAACGCAGGACCCTCCGGTTACAAGACCAGCTCACTGACCATTAAACCACTGTGTCTCGACCTGATGGTCCATGAATTCCAGCTTCTGTTAATTCACGAAATAACGTGACCACTAGCCAATGTCTTCGGCGAGTATTTGTCCTCACACCCGACCTGCTGTACCCCACTGGTCACGAATTTATGACTTATATCGATCTCAACCATTATGTGTTGAAAAATCATCCTGTCAACTGAATGCTGACTGTGACGCAGTGTTCTATAAAATAGTATTTTATCGTAACATGACGTAAGCCTATGAATTGAAAATGACTACGCTATAAAGAAATATGTGGACGTTAACTGTACTGTTTCTTCCATTTGTTAGTGTTTGACAATGAATAGGATTTGTGAGTTTTAAGCAGTGGAAATCAAACAGGTTTGTATAAGGGAAAACATAAAAAGGCTTCTTCTATTTCCATTTTCATTCTTTTGCGTTCCTTGTGAAAAAAATGACATCAGGCTTGACCATCAAAGTTTCACTGGCAGTAGTGCTGTTTTCCTGATGAAATTGTTTGCCTCGGAAAACCCCCTCTCTCCTTACTGGGCTAGCTACTGGCTACTGCGGGGTTTGCGAGTACTTTGGTTGGGAAACAAGCCCCAGATCACATGAGTGGTTACTTCGATTGGATACTAATTACCAGCTACAGGAGGTCAGTCGCGAGGGCGAATAGCTCAGATGTAATGTTTCTGATTGCAGAACTGGGTGACGCGATTTTGCATCTCAGAAGGCATGTGAGTTCCTTCAAGGCTGCAGATACGCCTTGCTGATTGGTGAGTGCCAGCCAGCATGAAACGTAGTTCCAAGGCTTCTTGCCGACTGCCTCCAACTGTCTAATATCCACATAAGTGGTTGGTGAGTGTTTCTTTCCATGTGTTTACTTCATAGATGTTGCACTCCTCAATATCAACAAATTGACTCTATTTTATTCTTATCATTTTTTACCTTTCTGCATTAACTAGCTTCAAGATCCTGAAAAGCTGAATGAACAGATCAGAAAATTATTATTAGACGATGTCTCAGTCAATGATCGTAATGATTCAATAAATTATGTACGTGAACAAACAAAAAAATTGGCGAAAGAATTAAATTTAACTTTACCAATGTAAAATAAATCAGTTAATTTAAGCTCATCAATTCAACCAAAGAGTCCTCCTGTATCATAAACCATAGACAAAATAAAATACCCAAAGGCGACAGCAACATGACTTCTTTATACTTTATTTTCTATTGTACATTTAGCTATATTCATTTTTGAAATGAGTGCATTTTTGTGATACTTCTACTACTAATACCACTGTTACTTAAACTTATTCTACTACCACTCCCACTTCTACTTCTACTTCTACTGCTCACACTACTACTATGAAGACCTTCCGTTGTGGTAGTAAGTAGTACAAATTACAATTCCAAATACTGTTCATACTTGTACATCTTTATTCTAAAAAAGGGTTGGCCAGGAAGTTGTTTAACTGTACAATGTTGACAAGAAAAACAAAATGACAGAAGAAAGCTGCCAGTGAAGACGACAACAGAGAAGAAGAAGACGTAGAAGAAGAACAGGAAGAACAACAGCGATGAGATGAAAATAGAGAGATATCTGTGATATTATGTATATTCCTTCTAGATACAATGACCTATGATTATGTATGCATATTTTTGTATTATTGAATGTATATTTTCCTGTAAATTATGACATATATGTGAATACCAGTAATAAATTAATTTCGTATGAATTTGTCGTTATGAGTATATGATTATTGTGTATTCTAGATTCAACAGATTAGGATATCGTCATTCGTGTGACTGAATTTCTTGGTTTACGAGATTTAAGTGGAAATTACTGGATGGAATTCTGCAGACGGTAATATGATTATAGTTGGCATCTCACCCTCAGTAGTAATAATAATGCTAATAATAATAATTACTCAAAAGATCACAAAATAGGCACATGAAGTGTATGTTTATTTCATTCAATGAAATGTTGTTATAAGTAATTGGTTCAAGGTTGGGATAAAATTCAGTTTAAGTGTAGGGATTATCCCAAATTTCTAAATCACAAGCACATAATAAGTTTTATGGTTCACAGAATACACCATAATAATAAGTACGTAAGCTAAAAACAACACATACTTTTGATGACTGGTAAATTAGATGCAGGCAGGTGAGTGGACGAAATAGTAAGCTTATGGACGAAGGGGCTAATGTGTGCACTGAATTCTGTTCACGTTTATGTAGTGAGAAATAGAAAATAGAAGTGACATAAACTCCAAAATGTTGGGGTCAGCTTTCTTGTTGACTGGTATACAAATAAAAAAAACTTTTTATGAACATACATGCTACAACACCACATGAAATAAGAATAATGCTAATAAAGACATTTAGATGGGGTTGGTTATTTGCATTGTGTAAAGAAGGGTGGAGATGTCATCATTCCGTTTATCTATGTACCTAAGCACAAGTCAGTAAGTTATGTTTTATGAAAGATAGTCAACTGAGGAAATAATGCATATGATTACATGAATCCAGCATGGTCCGGGTGAAGATTTCCATCCAGACTATCTGTCAATTCCTGTAGGATGACAGAGAGGATAGAGAGGAGAGTGATTCAGCGCCAGTTCTGGTACAGTCTTAATTCGTGTTTCTTTCACATTTTGAGAAAGTAGCTTTTCTCTTAATCGTTGGGCACCTTTCATTCATTCTGAAGCTTTTGTAGTAGCGACATATGCATTTCTGCTGAGATCCCTGTGTTCGTTTTCATTACTGCACTTTTCTGTGAGTTCTATCAATTCCTGTTGCTTTCCCGGCCTGTTTATAGAAACTTTATAGCCTTTGAAACATTGGCTTTTGTCAGGGGGTTAATATTCACCAACTGTTCTGCGTGTGGTGGTGGTACTTCTGAGCGTCCTGCAGGCAGAGGTCGTCGAAAGGATCTTCCAGGCGTTTCCCCTGTTCTCCCTCTTTATTATTTGGTTGCCTCTCACTGTCTTTCACTGGCTTCATATGTGTTGATCCACCCCATGATAACAACGTGATTGTTTGATATAGTGTTTTGAGGTCTCTCTCACCTGTACCTTGTTCTGTTTCATTTACCAGTGTTTCATAAATGCATCTTTTGTCTTTCCTAGCACTCTTCACTCCCCTGTTCTGTGTTCTGTAGTTGTACACATCTTCTCGTTTCGTTGTTCTTCTCTAGAATGGTTCATTTTCCGCTTCACAATCTTTCTCTCCTTTAGCGTCTACTAGGTGTCTGTGATGAGCTACTGCTGGTTCTGTCTCCTCTTTCTGCTTAAGATTTCTATACAGGTCTGCTTCTTCATTGCTTTTAGAGAGTTCTAGAGTTGGATCAAATTCTCAATCTGCAAACTGCTTCTCGATTCGGCATTTGCGCAGTTTGAAGAGATTAGATCATTTCGATCTGGCTAGCCAGAACTACTGGTTGATGTAAGTGGCATCCGAATACCCATGTCAATCAACTGGTAGTATATAGGATCATGTATATATGTTCAACTTCCAGTGTTGACCCTTATGGTTTTGCCATATGATGTTGCATAATATTTCTGACTTCTTCTTGATGACTACCATGGTGTCCTTTGTAAAGTCATCTCTCTGTTTCTAAGTGTTAAACTTGAAATGTTGTCAATCTCCCACTTCTATGTAAGTTTTCAACTTGATCTCAAAGTTTCCCATTACTGGGTAGTTATCTCAACCTAGATCTTATCTTTTTATCAACCTTACGTCCAGTCTGTCTGCCTTCCGGTGTGTGTTAATGTGGTGGAGCCCATGTTACCTTGCGGCTTTCCTTATACCGGTACACCCTGCCTCCAATTACCAACTCACTGAAGACGCAGAAATCCGTGAAGCAAACCCTGTTCTCATGCATTTTGCTGAGTGCTTCTTGATTTATTATGAGTTCTCATCATACATTATCTCTTCTCAGCTTGAAATTCACATAAGCGATTGGAATTTTGATGTTGCTATCTGTCTGGTATCTTCTCCATCACTGTGTGCACTTGTACGCGGAAATGACCTTTTCTCTCAAACACTAGGACATGTTATGCTTTCATCGAAAGGGGACACATCAGTCGACTGGCTTCTCAAAGTCTGTCACTTACCAACATCATCAATGCTACACTCCGTGACAGGCAAAGTCCGATTCCATATGAGCAATAGTGGAGACACTTTGTAGAAGTATGAGAATGAAATATCAGGCACATTAAGCATAAAAGTCACTATACTGAGGAGTATTATGTTTAAATTTGTAGAAAAACTGCTTAACAATGAGTTGTCATAACACACTGCTACACGAATCGTTCAGTTTATGAAAACTTACAGAATGAACCCGAAAGGTATGAGAAAATATTTCAGAGGGAGTGAAGAATTCATAGCAAAATCTTTAAAAACACCGCTTCCTGACTAAATCGTATCTGTGTGTTTTTAAACTACTGTATTTACATCAGTCGGAGACAAAAACGTCTAACTAAAACAGGTCCAGATAAAGTTCTACGAGTAGCGTCTGCAAACAGGTTGCTCCTCACACCAAATAGTGAAACAGGTGCCATCACCTGAACTCCCATCTCAGAAGAATCTCTGTCGAATACCTAATAGCACATTAGATAACATTTTACTAACCACCAAATACATAAGATGCTGACCAAAGAGCATGAAACGCCGTTGAAGAAACTATATGACAATGATGATATTATCAGTGTTCAACCATGCAAAAGGCTTTGGTGTTGTCACAGTAAATAAATGCATAGTTATTTGCATGAAATGTGGTCATTTCTTAACGATTGAGTGGGATTCTAGGTGGACTGAATTAAAAAGGATGCAACAACAGCGCTTGAAAATAAATCAAACAAATGTCGCAAAGAACTTCTTACGCAGAATCTTATCGACAGTGAACCTTGTGATGAACTCAAAAGTTGCATGCCTCTCACATATGCATGATTTGCCCAAAATCTGTAAGTCTAGCGTATCTTTGAGACTCATATTATCAATGGTTTATTCACCATGTCAACGGTTTTCGTAATCTTTGTAGCCTGTCTGTAATCTGGAAACGAACAGATATGCTATCACTACCCAAATTAAAAGTGAAGCGACTACTACTTCTTTGCATAAAAGACATTCAGTTTAAATTTAATATTCAGTTATACGGAAAAATCGGTGAGTTAGCCATGGGTTCGTATACGGAGACTGTCATGGCTGATATCTTCATCAGTTATCTTGATTAGACACGGCTAAGTTCTGCAATTCATGAAACAATTTGTCATTACCCATGCTCTGATGATACGTTTGTTGTTTTGTAAGGAGTGATGTGAACCACACATATAAACTGTTTAGTCGTCTTAACAAGATCCATCTTGACATTGAATTCGCTATGGAATATGATGAATAATACAACGAATAAAGATCCACCTACTACAAGAAGAAAAATACCCATTCGATAAAGAAAGGAAGACGAAATTCACAGTATAAAATGATATCATTCTTTTTCACAGGTTCCCATCAGCTAACTGCAGATTACCTGAAATTACAATGGTTATAAAAGTGATAATAACATACTTTATTGTTTGAGTGGTAGTAGAGAAGAGATACTATACAAGTGACAAATCCAAAATGAAAGCATTACAATTTTTAGTTTAAGTTTTCATCATCAGTTTATACGCTTTCAAAATTGATAGGAGGGGGGAAAGGTAAGACAGAAAACAGAAAGAATTAATCAACAGAACAGTGTTAGCTTGTAGGTTCACATAGCAACTCAGAAAACAAAAACGGTTACAGTTGATGATATTAAGATTTGTCCAGTGAGTTGAGATCACTGAATTAGATGACTGATTAATGTAATCAAAATCAAAATTCACTTACCAAAACAATGAGAGGTTAATCACACTCTCTTTCTGTATGCATAAGTCTGGTTTAAATCGTCTGATTGCTATCGCTTCGGCATCTCGTAATAAATTCGCTGTCCTTTGTCTATTTAATATTTAGGACTTAGAAATCTCTACGAGATGTCCGGTATCTACAATATGTCTGGTAATTGCACTCTGAGAATATTTACTTCCTTTTAGACACGGCTCTCTTGGAATATGTTCAGAAAACCGGATAG